GAGAGAGAGAGAGAGAGAGAGAGAGAGAGAGAGAGAGAGAGAGAGAGAGAGAGAGAGAGAGAGAGAGAGAGAGAGAGAGAGAGAGGATATTTTTCGCGAGCAAAGCAGAGGGCGGGTGGCGGAGGGGCGGGCAGGGAGGGTAAGAAGCACATCACCAGCACACTGCGCTATACGACATTTTAGGAAACCAGACTTGAAGGTCACAATTAGTATTGAATGATATCAGCCAAAGATTGTGACTTGTTTGTTACTATCTTATACGTAGCGAATAATGCCAGGGTCGAATGATGACATCTTGGAATTATCATATACTGAATACAGAGAATACATGTAAAATAATTATCAAATAATAAGCACGCATGATAATAATATTGAATTTTTCAAATTGGTATCGATTAGTTCTTAAACGGTGATAACTATACATAACCATCCATAGAATGATAATAATATTGGAATTTTCCAGCTGGTATCGATTTTGTTTTTTGTTTTGTTTCAGTAAGGTTTTACGGCGCTCTCAACTGCATAAGGTCATATGAGCGCCAAGGGTTGGATGTCGACAGAGAAATTCAAACGGGGAATCAGGGTTACCCTACTCACCTCTCTAGCTTCAACAGCACAAAGTCTGCCTCGACTATCAAGGCACGCCGGAAATAGCAGTTCACAAGAGAGTGACATACATACAAAAGAAGTAGAAGAAAAAATGACGATAGTAAGGATGAGGAAAGAAAAAGCAGCAGTTCCCCTTGTTATGTTGTTCCGGCACAGTATGAGCATGACATTGATAAATCAGCCCATTTACAATTCTACTGTGAATAGGAACACGTTAATATCTCCCTTTTGGGAATGGCCTAAAGACACTTCAGTCAGCACTGCGGGGGTAAACGTTTTCTCAGAATTTTCCGATAATATCTTCAAAAGACTCAACTTTGCCGGGCTGGCCATATCGTAAGATAAGAATGTCCAAAAGCAGTATTCTGCTCTAACCAGTCCTAAGGGAAGCGAAAGGTGACAAAAATGCAGAGGCCACAGAGAAAAGTCCGCACGGCAAGCTGCGCACATCCACGAAGGGAAATATGTAAAGCTTTTTAAAAGTTAGTTCAGTTCAAGAGATGGAAAACTTTTTTTCTGCCAGAACTGCTGGCATAGGCCACAGCAGAAGCGACGGGTCAACTTAACTTTTATTTCTCCTATTTCACTTAAAAGATTCTCCTCGGCAGGTCTGACGGTCATCGCCAGACATTGGCGGATGGTTTGGGGGTTTTTTTTATCAATGAATTATCATCATGATATTTATTATCATTATCATAAATTAAGAATTAATCAATAGATAGACATAAACGTGCAGACAATTGTTCTAGAAAGGTTTTACGTCCGTCGATCGCAACTGCTAATAAGGTATATGAGCATCCGTGACACCATGCGCCGACGATGTGTTCAACTTTTTTTTAAATTCGAAGTTGGAGAGGGTGTGGGAGGTGGGAAGGGGGC